TTATCCCGCTTCCCTTCTGAATCCAACTATTTTCTTTCCGTGCTGACAGGATGACACATCCTTCAGCTCCCGAGCAACTCCCATGAGCTCTCCTCTGCAATCACATACACATGCTGAACCTGCTCTAACATCCTCGGGCTGGAGAAACCCGACACACTGACGATACCTCCAAACATCCCCAAGATGAATTACCGTACATACATAGCCTCCTAATCACAACCATACTGGAAATCCAAGGCTCCATCCTTGCATCCCTTCCAGACTCTTCTGGTTATATACCACCGGAAATTCTTCCGCAACCTCAACAGACACCTAATCCGGATGTGCTTCCATACCACTGACACAACCACAGTGCTTAATAATCATAATTGGAATACTTTCAATCATCCATCCACACTAGTGCTTCCACTGCAGTGAACCAACACTCCTTCTTGGGAGCTACATACCCTTCCCTTTCTTTATCCAAGGAAACCTGCTCTACGAACTTGCCATAAAAACAAGTGCCATGGTGCTCACACCCCACTCTACACTATCCCATGTAGAGTAACCGCTATTCCATGCATCGCATATACTCTGAATCTGATCACAAGGACTATCGAAGTCCATACACCACCTTTTACTAACATAATCAATACCCGGGGCCAGACCTACTGGTTGCTATTGCATCACAACATACTCAAACCATCTCCTCATATAGATCTATCAACACATACAAAGTCTTCAGCACGACTAGACCGCCTTACCAGGCCTTCAGCCATCCTGGACCACTTTCAGAACCTTCAGCATGCCTGGACCGCCCTCCAGGGCCTTCAACCTATCTGGACCGTTCTCCGAGCCTTCGGCCTGACTAGTACGCCCACAGGCCTTCAGTCTCCCCGGACCACTCAAACTATCATACATCATTCTGAACTATCCTTCCCGGGAATCTCTCCCATACATACTGTTCTAGCCCTCTAGGGGTTCCGAACTCTAATTTCATTCCATCTACTCAGATCCCGGCCTAATCCTAGGCCTCACAACAACCAATCACCTTTTACGAAAACATTGGCATGTACCCCGCCCTATTTGTCAGTCACTTACTCATACCAGCCCATACTCATGGCTGACTGAAACACTTTTGAATCCCAAACAACTAACCAACCTCTAATTCTTGTCGATCCTCCTGAGAATTTTCCAATTCTCCCCACTTAGAGCACTAACTACCAACCACCGGTGACTCAACCGACATAAATCAATCATCCCTACTTAACATACTCCCCTTATCCATGAACTGATTTCCTCTTAAACGAGCAAAACCACAAAATCACTTCCCGGCATCGCACATCATGAACTCTAAGGGAGTTCGACTCTCCGCTGAACACTTCTCAAATTGCAATTGCTATACCTGACAACAAGTCCATATAACCAAATTCTGACCATCAATCCCTTGGATGCTAACCGCCCAACCAAACCATGAAACACGCAAAACGGCGAATAAAATACAACACTACATAAATAGCTAGATAACCAGACAACAACGAAACGAAAACATACCCGCAACTGCATCTGGCTCTGCCCTGACCTCCTCTGCTATGAGCTGAAAAGTGCGCCCCTGAGCCCTCGGAGGCTCCGCTCCACTCTGACCCCCGCCAGTAATCCTCACAGAAGATGGTGTTGGAACCTGCACCGATCTGGAAACAAGTTGTGGAGAATTGGCCCTCAAGTGACCAACCTGATGGCAATGATAACAAATCTTCAAATCCTGAACCGTGGCTGACTGAATGCAATCCCTCGCGTAATGCCCCTCTCTCCCACACTTGCGGCACGCACCACCGGACCTACAAACTCCGATATGACCCTTCCTACACTTCTCACAAGTGTGGTGACCCTGACCTCCCAACCTGAAATCAACGGTCTTGGACCGTTTCGGCGCCAGCTGCGACTGCACCAGGGCCTGCCTCAGCTCTCACAACTGCAACTCAATCTCCAACTCACGCCGCCGAGCGGCCTCCTGCAACTCCCGCAAGGTCTCGCACCTCTGCGTAGACAAAAACTGCCTGATATCCCTCTTAGGCATACTCAGATATCGGGACATCTGAGCTTGCTCCGAAGCAAACTCAGGGCAAAACATCGCCCTCTTAGTGAACATCCTGGTGATCTCCACCACTGACTCCGAATCCTGCTTCAGCTCCAAGAACTCCTGAGCCAACCTCTCTCTCTCTCTCTCAACTCGCGGAACATAACGGGTACTGAACATCTCCCAAAACTGATCCCAAGAAATCACAGCCCGTTGCGCATCCGAATAAGATCACGTGGTCAACCTCCACCAATCCTTCGCCCCGGGCCTCAAAAGGTTCATAACACACCTAACCCTCTGATCCATAGGGCATGAACACGTGAAGAAACAACCCTCCACATTTGACAACCACCTCATAGCAGTATCTGGATTCAGAGGAGGTTCGAAAGAGCAGGACGTGTAAGCAAAGTCGGATGAGATCTGGAGAAGATGAGAGACTTGGAGGACGAGTAATCTAGTGGGAGCAGTACGCATCAACAAAATCAATTAGGTCATAATATACTTTGGGGATGGGGAGAATTCAAAAAATTTCAATAGTAAACAAGGGAAAATCTATTCAAATTTTCAGTGAACAAAAACTCACTTAGATTTTTTTTAAAATGTTAGTTATCTACTTTTGATTTCGTAGCAAAGTTCGTAAAATATCATCTACATAATTAATTTCCATAACAAGTTATATAGTAGAACAGTTACAGATTTTAATTCCATAGCAATTGTTCAAAATTATCCAATGGATCATGCATTATAATGTTAGGACATAAAAGACTAAAATATAGTCCTTAATGATTTCCTTCCAAAGTCAAAAGTAACTAGTCTATCCATAATTGAAATTTAGTCCCTACTAAGAAGTTTCCACTGAAATATTATTCATGACTTATTTATTAGTCTATGATATATGACATCTATGACTAACTTAGATACTAAAATTCAGTGAGTTATAAGTGTTCGTTCAAATATCAAAAAGTACATGTCTATTAGGGACTGACATTCAGTCTTTAGAATATTCCCCATCCAAATGACTAATTGTTGTAGTTGTATCAAAGAGTGAAATCCAGTCCCTACTAAGTTCCACATAAAATTAAAACTGACACAAGTCCTTTAGGGACTGAAATTTAGTCTCAAATAACTTTCCCTCCAAAGTCAAAGTTAACGTTAGACTATTCGAGACTAAAAATCAGTCCCCGATACGTTTCCCACAAAATTATAATATCAATTTAACTAAAATATTTCCTAAATATATTTGTATAATCTTTAAAAGTTTTCAAATAAGTAGATTAAAATAACTTACAATAACAATAGTTAAAAATAATTCTATATAAATGATTATATTGTTATCTTTAAAATCAAAAAACATTGTCTGATATTTTAAATAATTATAATGATAGAAATTAAAACGTTAAGAAAATAAATTTTAAAAAATTAATTAACGATAACGAAAACTATATATAAACATTAAGCCATATATTATATTTAATTTTATTTATGATTAACTCGCGGGTAGAAGTCATTCAAACGGAAACGGTTGAGATTATATAGTTATAATAGATGTATATATTATCACATAATTCAAAATAATCAATATGTTATATCAATTTAGTATATGAATTATTACATCAAATTTAACAACATTGTTATTGTTATATATATATATATATATATATATATATATATATATATATATATATATATATATATATATATATATATTTATAAAGATTTCAACTATATAAGTTTCTATGCGCGTTGGGTGCGAACATTCGCCTATTTTATCATAATATTTATAACATAGGCTTCCACAGCTGTTTCTTTCCAATTTACTTTTGTTTCCCCCTATTTGGCATCGCTCCCCACCTTTATTCTGATTGTCGATGTCCGATTCCAAATTATAGTTAGGAACTTTATGCAGCTTTTCATTTCCTATCTTTGGGACCTAGAAAGGTTTCTATCTAATATGATTACTACACATATACATTAATACATAGGCCAGAAGTTTTGTCCCTTTGAAACAATATGCTCTTTGATAGCAGGGCCGACCTTATTGTTTTAGTAGTTAAGATAGGGCTTAGGGCCCCGATTTCTTTCGATCCAAGCTTATTAGTTTCCAAAAAAAAATCACACGTATTGCATTCTTCAAGTGACGACTAGCGATTAAACTTCCAAAAAATCATGCGCTGTTCTTCACGATCTTCTTCCTTCTTCAATCTTCATTCTCGGTTAAGGTTTCCCAATTGCTAAAAAATCACTGATCTTGATGATCTGATGCACTAATGCTAATCTGCTGTCATTGAAAAGGTATGCTTGTATTTTCACTTTTCAATTTTGATTCTTCTGTTATCTCTAATTATCTAGTTGGGGTTAATAGCCAATTGAATGAATTAATTAGGGTTAATGATACAATCATGGATGTCATTTGTTAAAGGACTGATTCGTATGTAATGGATAATATCTTCTGGTTCATGGACTGTTTTATGTTTGAAAATACTGGTTCATGAATTGTTACACTATTTGATTTCGAGTATCCCATACTTTTATTAGTTTTTTTTTACAACGCTTTCACCCAACAGAAAGAACGAAACAAAAGGGTGCATGATAATTCTCCATGAAGTCCCCGTAATTTCAAGAGAAACCCTTTTAAACCCTTCAATTTCTAGTAAGCTTCACAAACTAACTCCCATCAGCTGTATTAACCTTTTTTGGATGATTTTTTTCATAATAAATTAACTTTTTTTGCAATCTAATGAATGATTTTTTTTTGGGTAAATTACACCGTTGGTCCCTCGTGTACATGCCAGAAAGCATGTTTAGTCCCTATTTCCAAAATTTAACTCGTGCAGTCCCTCGTTGTTATTTATCTTGCATGGTTAGTCCCTATGCACGTTAACTGTTAAATTCTTCCGTTTAAGCTACCCACGTGCCTTGCACGCAGGGGCATTTTCGTCTTTTCAGGGTTTGTATACATGAACCAGTATGGCGCGACTTCGATAACCAATCATTTTTGATTTCATCCTCCGTCGACCCTTAGCATTGCACGAGAAAACCCTAGTTTTCTACGATGGTGAACTGGAGGATTAGGCAAGAATGGGAGGAATACGATCTCCAAAGCTCATACGGTAAAATTTTCTACATTTTCAGTTGATCATCCATTATACGTTCCTAAAACGTAATTTTTTTTTGGGTTCGCAGCTGACAATCCATGTATGTTCTCGATACGATTGAACTATGGTGGAGTTTTTACGAAGTTTCCAGGCCGCAAATACATAAAGGGGAAGATGAAATATATTGATGGCATTGATAGTGACTTGTTCTCGGTGCATGATATGGACGAGATAATGGAATTGCTTGATTGTGTGGAACCAGGTAAAAGTATTTATTATCATTTCAAACGACCAACCTGGGATTTAGATTTTGGGTTGTGACGAAGATATAAACCACTTTAGGTCATACGTGTATGAACACAAGGTGATAGAAGTGTATACAGAGTTTTGGGAAACCAAGCTCCATACGTATCAAATGTCCCCAAACCCTGCAAAGATAAAGATACACGAAATTCCTGAGTCCCTTTGTCGTAAAAGCTTGTTATTGACATGGTCAAATTCAGGGGATTGTCCTAGTGAAGAAGCCCCTGTTTTTGAGAATGTAGAAACTATGGACGAACCCCCTAGTACATTACTTGAAACAACCCCTTGTTACATTGAGTGAAACAGTTGAGTCAACCCCTGCCTATATACCAAGAATTGAAAGCCCTTTGACTGAACCAATGATAGGAAGCACATGTCCTAATGTTGATGGTTGGGATGATACATTTGAATGGTGTGAACCTTTTGGTGGGACTCCTATGGAACAAGATGAACCAAATAGTGAAAAAGCAGGTGAAGACAGTCAAGCTAGTAAAGACAGTCATGATAGTGATGACACTGAAGATAGTGAATACAGTCAAGATAGCGATTACATAGTTGATGAAGATAATTTGTTAGATGATCCAGAGGTTGATATGAAGAACTTTCACCTCAACATTGACAAAGAGGTGGAGTGGGTTGGAAGTTTTCCTGATGATCGAGATGAAGCAGTAGAAGGTGATGAAGAATTAGAGGTTATAAACACTGAAGAATTTGTATCTGCATCTTCATCAGATGAGGGTGAAGCTAGTAAAAAAAGGAAGAAGATAAGAGATTTACGAAGAGCACATAAGAATGAAGCAGCTGCTGTCAAAGATCCATTTTACATCCACCAGACTTTTAGCACAGCCAAGGAAGTTAAACAACAAATTTATCTTCATTCCATACAGAGTAGAAGGGAGTTAGACTTCGTCAAGAATGACAAAAATAGGATTAGAGTGGTTTGCAAAGGGACAATACCAAACCTTGGGATATTAGAAACAGGTGGGACCAGCAAAAGTAATGACAAAGTGGGACCAAGTCAAAAGAAAAAGAAAGTGAAAGATGGTTCTATTCATAAATGCCCATGGGTCCTACTAGTGAGTAAGTGGAAAAAAGACATTAACTGGACTGTTAAGACCTATGAAAAGCAACATACGTGCCTTCAAACAAGGAAAATTAGGGCATGTAACTACAAGTTTCTCTCTGAACAGATTGTTGACACAGTGGAGGCAAACCCAGAAATACCACTTAGAGCATTACGTGAGATGCTTGAGAAGAAATACCAACTTGGATTGTCAGACATGAAAGTTCATAGGGCGAAAACGAAAGCCCTGGAATCAATTAGGGGAGATTTTGCTGCTCAGTACTCATGTCTAAGAGACTACTTACAGGAGGTGCAGAGTAGAAATCCAAACACCACAGTCAAACTTCAAGTGCAAAGTGAACCATGTTATGCATCTGAGACCAGGGTATTTGAACGAGTATACATTTGTCTTGGTCCACTGAAAAGTGGATTTGCAGCAGGGAAAAGAGATTTACTAGGGCTTGATGGTGCATTCATGAAGGGTCCATACCATGGTATGATCCTGACAGCAGTGGTATGTGCATAATCATATTTTAGTATTTGATTAATGTTTGACCATAGTTAATTGTTTGCTTATTACTGTGTTTGACATGATAATTCAGGGTTTAGATGGGAACAATTGCACATACCCTTTGGCATATGCAGTTGTTGAAGCAGAGAACTTTAATTCATGGACCTGGTTTTTAACTAACTTAGGAGATGATCTTGGTTTGTATGCAAACTCCAACTTCACTTTCATATCAGATAGACAGAAGGTAAATAAAGTTCTCCATTCATTTTCACATGCATGTTTTACAATTCAATAAGCAACTTCACTCTTTTGATGATTTAGGGGTTATTGCCTGCACTTGAGAAACTTTTCCCAGCAGCAGAGCATAGATATTGCCTAAGGCATCTTCATGAGAACATGAAACGTAAATGGAGGGGCAAGGAATTCAAGGATTGTCTTTGGAAATGTGCAACATGTACCACCATACCACAATTCAACAGTGCCATGGAAGAACTAAAGAAACTTAACAGTGAAGCATATGACTGGCTTAATTCTATTCCACCTAAGCACTGGTCCAGATCCCACTTCTCAGGTATATAATATTATGTTTATAAGTGTATAATTTTTAAATATAATCTAATACAGTTGTGTTTTATTAGGGAGGGCACATTGTGATGCTTTGTTGAATAATATGTGTGAGAGTTTGAATAGCAAGATAGTGAAGGGTCGTGATAAGCCAATTATCAGTTGCTTGGAGTTTATTAGGGAGTATATCATGAGGAAAATTATCATGGTTCAAAAAGAAATTGATAAAGCTAATGGCCCATTAACTCCTACAGCCACTAAGACCCTTGAAAAAATTAAAGAAAGGGCAGTACAGTGTAGGGCAGTGTTCTGTGGCAATGGGAAGTACCAGGTTACAAGTGAAGGTACTAATCAGTATGTGGTTAATATGGACCAACAAACTTGTTCATGTAATAGGTGGGAACTGACAGGCATACCCTGCAAACATAGTATAGCGGCTATATGGGATATGAGGCTCAACAATGAAAATGTTGGAATACCTGAGACATGGGTACACCCAACTTATTGGCTCAAGACATGGAAAGAAATGTATGTCTTCAAAGTTGAACCTATTAATGGGAGGTTATTGTGGGAAAAAGCACATGTCCTACCAAGTTGATACCACCAAAGTATCGTGTCCCTATTGGCAGACCAAAAAAAAAGAGAAGAAGATCTGCAACAGAAGATGATGGAGTGTCCACAAAATGGAAATCTGTAACATGCACAAAATGTGGAAATGTGGGCCATAATGGAAGGACCTGCAAGGGACAATCACAGACTGGGAATGGAACAGGAGAAGGTGCAGCAGGGAATACAACAGGAGAAGGTGCAGCAGGTAGCAGTGGTGGTGTACAAAATGGAGTTGGGAACAAAGGAAAAAGCCCCATGCTTTGAGAATTTGTAGTTTGGTATCATGATCATGAAGGATAACTATGTTTTTGTTAGGCATTTATTGCCATATTACTTTGTTGTTATGTTTTGTATTTTGATACTTTGTTGCTGTGTAGGATAACTATTTGTATGCCATAAGACTATGTTGTTATTTTGGATGTCCCTTTATGTTAATGGTCAATGGTTATCTTGGATATTTTAGACTTTTTGTCCTTTTTAATTGTTATATTGGATGCTAGTATTGAATGGTATATTGCATATGTTGCAAATACCACATTTTCATTAAATTTGAACACCAACTGATAACACCACATTATGATTACACAATATATTGTAACTAAAATTGAAATTTTTTTGTTAATACAAATAACATTACAAAGAGTCTCCATTACAAAATACACATACCAAAATACTAACAACTTCATTACTTAACCTACACTTTATATATAAGGACTGAAACAAAAAAAAACCCAGCTAATAACTAGGTAAAGCTTCAATTTGCGATTTTGTTCTTCAAGTTTCATCCTAAACGCCATACAATCACAATCCTGATCATAATCATTCACCCATCCTATGAACTTGCATAATGATCCCTGAACCAATTAAAGTAGATGAAGAATTAGGGCAAAATTAGAGAAGACGAAGAACGAAATTGAAATCATTAACCTTACCTTTACTGTACAAGCATAATAGAGTTTCCCAGGGTTTCTTTTGCTATAAGATGTGCGAATCACTGTAGTGGCTCCACAATTGCATTTAATATCGATCATTGTTATGTATTTGGAAGAAATCGATCGAACGAGGGGAAGAGACGAACGAGAGGATACAGAGGAAAAGAGGGTTGCAGTGTTCTTTATAAGATTTAATGTGTAACGGCATTAAATATGGACACAAACCCTAAAAAGACGAAAATGCCCCTACGTGCAAGGCACGTGGGTAGCTTAAACGGAAGGATTTAACAGTTAACGTGCATTGGGACTAACCATGCAAGATAAATAACAACGAGGGACTGCACGAGTTAAATTTTGGAAATAGGGACTACACATGCTTTCTGGCATGTGCACGAGGGACCAACGGTGTAATTTACCCTTTTTTTTCATAATAAACTAACATTTGAAAGTATTGGTCTATTTGACAATGTTTTGTTCGCTATTAATGACAGAATAATGTGGAATTGTATGTGAGATTTCAATTAGATTGTATATAATTGATTTTATTAGAAATATAGCATCCAAAATAGAAAAAGTTTTTAATTTATATTTTTGGTGTCACATAACCGTTAACTTGATTACTTAAAAAATGCTAGAAAAACTAACTTTATGTCATAAAATACATTCACAAAAAACATAAACATAAAAAAATTAAAAAAATTAACTCCGCCATCTGTAAACTTTTCAGTTTATTATTGTTTGTCTCAAGCCCGGATAAAGGAGGACGGTTTATAATATTAAGTATAGTATATGTTAAAGAGCCTCAAATTTTTTGGTTCTTCGCTTAGAGCCTTCAAACTGGTTGAGCCGCCCTGTGTGATAGAAGTCAATTATGGATGGCTAATCCCTTTTAGAAATATAGATAGGTTAGAGAAACACAATTGAAACAAATTTCTTACTTCATTCGTAACGTCAAAAACGATTACAGTGAATTAAATATACTACTTAGTGGGAAACAACATACTACTAAATAAAATAAGCAAATATGAAATAACAATTGAAATTATTTTGTTTGATTAAGTCATGCACATGGACTAAATAGCATAATTAATATCCTACCCACACAAGTACGTATCACTCTGCAATGAATTTGAATTGCATGCCACCAACATATTCCTACTCTGATCAGACATCTGATGCATGTGATTAAGGCATCGATCTGCATCTAGCCAATCACATGCCAAAATTTAACTAATCAAAAGGTTTATGTGTAACTGTTAAATAAACACTGTCTTGTGGAATCTGAGTTATTATATAAACGAGAAAAAAAAAAAAAAAAAGACCATGTGCTTTTTAAGACAGCTTAGATTTAAATCAAAAAGCATTGGCCGGTTTGAAAACTAAAAACTGTTATAAACTGAAACATGACTCGCGTTCCTCTTAAATATTCCCAGAAAATTAAAAGTGAGTCTAATCAAATATTAAACCTCAAGACGTCTCCAAAGTACCCTGTGCGTCTGTGTACTTCACTCCATAGGGATAATCGATTCATTAAATCCTTCAAATGTCGATCCCCGATGCTTCTTCTCCTCTTTCACCTGTATCTGAACTTAGTTTAGAAGATAATGAACATGAAAACGCCAATCTATCCCTTCTTTTCGATAGATACAAGGATAAGTTTACCAGATTTCCAAATGAAAAAGGTTGGATGGGTCAAAACTTGTACATGTACCAAGGGTTTTGGTACTCATCCGAGAACGCATTCTCAATTGAAACTATGATGGCCTTACAAGATACTTTCCAAGCTCATTCAACTGATATCTACTTGGCTACACAACCAAAATCTGGTACAACCTGGATTAAGGCACTCGTGTTTGCTATTGTGAACCGAAACAGGTACAAAAACGACTCTTCAACTAACCCTCTACTCATCACTAACCCCCACAAATGTGTCCCTTTCCTTGAGATCGAAATTGTTGGTAAAACGCCTACTTATGTCCATGCAAATACACCACGTCTCTTTTCTACCCATATACCTTACACTGCGTTACCTCAATCCATTCTTGGTTCTGGTTGTCGTTTAGTTTATATGTGTAGAAACCCTAAAGATGTTTTGGTCTCTTGGTTTCACTTTTCAAACAAGTTGAATGATAAATATCATGTCCAAATGACCATTGATGAGCTGTTTGAGGTGTATAGTAAAGGTTTGATGCCATATGGACCTTACTGGGATCACGTGAAAGAGTACCATAAGGTGAGTTCTGAACATCCGACAAGGATTCTGTTTTTAACATACGAGGACATGAGAAAAGATACTGCAAATAAAGTGAAGCGTCTAGCAGAGTTCTTGGGCTACCCTTTTACAGAGGAAGAAGAGGCCAAGGGTAAGGTGGAAGAGATCGTGAAGCTATGTAGTTTTGAAAATTTGAAGGAGGTTAATAAGCATGGGGATTTCCGTAAGGGTGTTCCTAATAACAGTTTCTTTAGGGAAGGGAAAGTTGGAGGATGGAACAACGATCTTACAACTGAAATGAGCCAGATTTTGGATGACATTACCAAAGCAAAGTTCCATGGTTTGGATATTTCATTCTAATCGTGCCTGTGAGTCTGTGACAAAAGCAAAGCAAAAATCTGCAGCCTTTATTACTCTTTCAAATGAATTTTCAGTTTCAAGTGTGTTTTAAGGATTGATCTAAATAAATCTTATTTAGTAAAGGCTATTGAATTTAATAAATTAATGAATTGTGTATTTGTGTTGCTATTTATTCAAGCTTATCCACAGCGGAGAATACTATATATCTTCAAACTCATCGTGTGTGTACCATTTGATTGAGATGAAAAATTAAAAGATTGAAATTTTAATTATCTGGTGGATTATAAATAATACCATATAAATATTTTTTCCATTTACTTTTTTCACGACCATAAGATAAAAAAAATGTTTCTTACTTTTTTTTTTTTTTTTTTTTTTTTTTTTTTTTTTTTTTTCAAATCTTGACATTATTCATTAATAAAAAATAATAGTTACAAACTCATCGTCAACAATCAACATAAATAAACCAAATTATAAACAAACAAGTTAGTTTCACATACAATAATAATATAATTCTGATTAACAAATAATAATTATAACTAGGTGTGAGACTCGTATATTATACGAGTTAATTTAAAAAAAATTAAACATTAAAATATAAGCAGTTAATATTTTTTAACATAAAACTTTAAAATAAAAAATAAAAAAACATATTCATTGCAATTTAATTTCATATATATTATATTTAATACTTTACATATATAAATTATGATTTTAATTTTAAAAATTGAAACAAATCAGAAATTAACAAGTGGATAATATTTTTTTTTTCAAAAATACCACAAAATGATAAGTATCAAAACTAATAAGATATTAACAAGTACAAAAAAGAAACATTTATTTATTATAGAGGATTGTGATACATATTACAATCCAATCATGAATATAACAACAAATTAAATAAAAAGACAATAACAATTGTAGCTATTTAAAATATAAATACAAATCATGAATATAACGATAAATTAAAATTTTATTAATATATATATATATATATATATATATATATATATATATATATATACTAATTTCAAACTCCTTGGTGAACAATATCTTCTTATGATTGGTTGATTTTCTTCTTTTTAGTTTTTTTTTCCTTTTCCTTTTTGTTTTTGTTTTTCCTTTTTTCTTTTACAATATTATTGTCTTCGACACCGACTCTATTATCCAATAAGAATTGGATCAGTGGTCATCGGCTCTTAACCCAATATCTCACCGCCCTCCATTTGTTCCCTATTTTTTCTATCTCCACCGCATCTGTCTTCAATCAACCTCTGTCCTCTTCCATTTTCTTGAATTCCATCTTTGTCTATTTCACTTCCCTTCTCTCTATACTGAAGCACTTCTATTGGTAGCATCCCATCGCCTTACAATGTCAGTCCACTTCTTCATCTTCACCGCCATTGCTTTATTTTAATTAGTGATGTGTTGTTTCCTACGACAATAGATTCACTCTACTGAATCAACAGGTGAGCTTTGTGTCCGTGAAGGAGAAGTAAGAACATTTTGATTACATCGATTGTCATCAGGAAACCTCGATTTCCTGCAACTCCATCAAAATTGTTGTACGAACTGGAAAACTTAACCTCCCTATATCGGTGGCTTCCAACGATGTTTTTTCCACCGTCTTTTTATTCACCACAGGCTTTTAGTCTATGTCGTTTTACTTCTCCACCTCTCCCCTCTATTTCTCCTGTGGGCTTCCTTTTATCTCTATTGTGGTTTGTAGCCCTAAATCGTAAACCTGATTACCTCCATACATGAACCATCTATATGTTACTGTAGAGGAGAAATGGTGGACCGACTGCATTCCCCTTGTAACGATGATGTGCTTCATGTTCGGGAGGATTTAGTATTTTCCATGATTTCTGCATCTAAGTAACAATCAATTTTAGGTTCCATTTTTTTATCTGATCTAATTCTGAAGTTTTTATTTCATACTAGACGTATCGGTCGCAATGTTTAATTTATTTCATCTGTTTCTGTGTTTTTAGGTTACGCCTGAAATGGAGTCATTTTTTGGTTCGTCGATTTAAACAGGGCATTAAGATACCCTATTGTACGATCACTAAGGATTTGGTGTATGTATGTTGGAATGTCGTTTAAGTTTGTGTAATTTTACGAGGTTGCAGTCCTTTGTGGTTCTTGAGCTGAAACATCAACATGTTTGGTTGTCCAAACTCCAAAAACAATGGAATCACTACTAGAAACATGGGTTTTAGTGACGGAAGTATCTGTCGCTATTCCGTCACTAAATGTTGTTTGCGATGGATCAGTGACGGACTCACTCAATAGGTAATTAATAGGTGGCTAATTTCTCAGCGAGGGTTTTAGCGACGGAGAGGGTTTTCCTTGCGACAAATGTAGCGATAGAATATCCGTCACTAAATGTCACTCAACACATTTACTTAGGGCATTAGCGACAAAATTTGATAAAGTCATTCCGTCGCTGTTCTGGCGCAAATTTTCGTGATCAGTTTTTTTTCCGTAGCAAATCCCTTACAAAATTCATATACTGATTTCTTTTTTTTTTTTCGTCACTGGTCTGTCGCAAACTTTAGACATGGTTTTTTTTCATAGCTAATCCCTTGCAAAATTTATACATTAATTTTTTTTTGTTCCGTCGCTGATCCGTCGCAAACTTTAGACATGATATTTTTTCCGTAGCTAATCCCTCGCAAAATTGATGCATTAAAATACTATTTTTATTCTCACCAATCCGTCGCGAACTTGTAATATCATTTTTTTTATTATAATTCTAAAAGAAAAAAAATACAACAATCATCAAATTTTTATACTAAAAAACATCAAATAACAATACAACCAAACATTACAATACCAAAACTATCAAAGTTTACCAAAGTATCATTCAAAAAACATCCAAAACCAAAACTATCCATATAACATCAAACTCCCACAGGTTTAACTTCAAAATAACATTTTAGCATCAAAAAATCCAAAGTATGCATCAGGAAATGAGTTTTCACAAAACATAATTTCAAAATAACATTTTAGCTGCTCTCTTCATTTCATGTCCATCCAATCATCTTCGATTCACATTCCTATAAAACATTATTCAAAACAATCAAAAGTATCAAATACAAAAGGTTAACAAGTCATTCAAAAACATCAAATACTAATGGTTAACATCATATTACCTCTAATTTTCAATTTCTCATCATATTTTGCAAGGCTGCATACATCTTCTCCATTGCTTCATATTTTGCATCAATTTGTTGTTGTTTGGCATCTATTGCTGCAACTTTGGCATCCATTTCCTCACGCATTTGTTGATGTTTAGCTTCCATTTCTGCAGCTTTAGCATCTATTTCCCCACGCATCTCGTTTCGTACACGTTCATAGACAACCTAAAGCACAATGATAGGAAACCTTGTAAGTACAATGCCATGATAGGAAACTTTGTAAGTACAATGCCATGATAGGAAACTTTGTAAGTACAATACCATGATAGGAAACTTTGTAAGTACAATGCCATGATAGGAAACTTTGTAAGTACCTCTTGGGATGTTATTGTACTAGATGTTCCTTCCAAAAAGCTCGATGGATCAGAAACAAATCCGAATCCATATATTCTTCCTTTCTTGACTCCTCTGGAAACATCACACCATATTTCATTATCCAAGAGGGGGTGGCAACTAGTATCATCACCAAACTTAGCCACCATAGCACTTTCATAAGCCTCCTATTATAGCAAAAAAATATGAAAAAACAGAAACATGAAATAAGGAATGTAATGGTTCATTCCATTCCATTAAATTCATAATTAAGGAATGGAATGAACCACTTCATAAGCCTCCTATTAATTAATACTCAAACCTTGCATAAAGTTGATTACTTCTTACAAAACACTTAATTACAACTAGGTAGAGGATCAAACATTTAGAGATAATATTTTTTTCTTTTCTTTTGTTAGTTGATTACTACTTCAAAAATATGAAAGATTTGTTTTCTGTCAATTTGTTGCTTTAACAAAGTCATTAACTCGAGTAGTAGGAAGTTTTGTTTCCTACAAAAGAATTGAAAATACCTTAATTTAGCTTCCTTTGGTGTAATGTACTCTTGAGTAGACCATTTAGTGTGCAACCTTGCATAAAGTTCAACTCTTGTAGGAGGGCGTTTAAGTGTTGGTTGCTACAAAATCCATTAGTAATACATTAAAAAAACAAAACAAAAACTCAATAGTCTAAGTGGAAACTAAGGTGAGATGCAAATTTAAATCACCTTCTAGTGAGGCATTCACATTTGCAGCTTTGACAAGTTTTAAAGATTCTTCACGTGCTCTTCGCATTATGTCAGGAAATCATTTCTTCATACAGTCTTCCCATACCTTGCGAGGAAGAACATCAATCTCTTCGGGCCAGACATACAAACCCTACATGTAGATCACGCATACAATTATCTTTTTCATTTTACACCAAGTTTTACTTTGATAAATCATAAAAATAATAAGTACAAACATTGAAGTGTTCCCACATTGCATCACGATGTTCTTTGTCAAACTTCTTCCATGAGGTCCATGGGCCGTCAAACATCATCTTCAGTATACATGCGATGGCTCTGATCACTGAAATCTAATCCGTAAATCTTGTAAAAAATAAATAATTGTAATTCCTGCAAACTAAAAGCTTCAGGGACCAAAAAGATAATTATGGAAAACTAGAACTATAGGGACCAAAAGTGTATTGCTTATTTCCCTCTTTCATAGTGACCAAAATTGTAAGTCGAGAAATTTAAAACTTTGGGACCAGAAATTTAACTTTTGCAAATTAAAAACTACAGCGGCTAAAAATGTAATTTTGGAAAATTAAAACTACAGGGACAAGAATTGTAATTTCTGCAAACTAAAAGCTTCAGGGACCAAAAGTGTCTTGCTTATTTCCCACTTTCATAGTGACCAAAAGTGTAATTCCTGAAATTTAAAGCTACAGAGATTAAAAATGTAATTCGGGAAAATTAAAACTACAGGGACCTAAAGTGTCATTTGCATATCTTTTGTTATCTATTGTAATATTATACAATCTTTTCAAAAAAAAAATTTACTACGTTAACATGGATCCAAATCGGGTTTTTTTCTAAGTTTTAACAACACGTGGAAGCTGTAGAAAAATTGACCCATATTTTTAGATGAAAGAAAAGAAGAAAAATGGACCCATATTTTTAGATGAAAGGAAAGAATATTATCAATTTGTGACTTCGCTAATCTGTCGCTAGTCTGTCGCTGATTCCCTCACTAATCTGTCGCTACGTATTAGCGACAAGGATTTTTTGGACTACCAAATTCCGTCGATGGCGACGGATCAGCGACGAATTGTCCGTCTGTGATGCCTCTGTTTCTAATAGTGCTAGAAATGACATTGTTTTTAAAAATAAGGTGAAGCGCACTCATGATCTCGATTGTGAGGTGCAATTTTTAGCTTTCTTTTGGTTGAAAAATAGTGCGATGAGAGGTGATAGTTTATGTTGGTCTAAATATCGTACACATGTTTGCCTCAACTGCTTAGCTTTGGGTAGTTTTTCATGTTATAGAATTTCATTTTCAAAAAAATAAATAAAGAAAGAATGAAAAAAAGAAAAAAGTAAATAATTCAAAACTCACTTGATTTATATATTTACCAAAACCAATATATTGCATGCACCAGTCATCAAAGCATTATTTTGATGAATATCCGAATTTTAAATTAAAGAATTATTTATTATTTATTATTATTATTTTTTTAATGTTATAAATATGGATGTGTGAAAAGTATGTTACCTACTTTTATCGATTATATAGAAATAAATTTGATAAAATCAAGTTTTATTTAGATTTATGAAGGAGAGCTACATGGTTTTTATCGATTATATAGAAATAAATTTGATAAAATCAAGTTTTATTTAGATTTATGAAGGAGAGCTACATGGTGTGTGTGTGTATATATATATATATATATATATATATATATATATATATATATATATATATATATATATATATATATATATATATATATATATATATATTGTTACCTACACTCTTTGCAAAATTGATGGAGGGATGTAACATTTTGTATAATCAGATAGGAAAACAGATAGCATATGGTAAAAATTGTTGTGTTGTTGAGTAGTTAGTTCACCTGAATCATGATATCTTATATAGGATTAAACAATACACAAACACGATCACAATATCATTAATAGTTATAAATGTATGGTCATGACTTCATTTCATTTCGGTCAAAAGATACGCATTGATATGGTTTGGAATAAGGGAGTGATTCGTACACAACAGTTTTTTGTTATACACAACAATTTATGCATTATATAGTTGTACAATACAACATTTTAAAACATTAATTGTTGTGTATGGAAAAAAATTATTGCGAACAAATCAGCTCCCGAATAAAATCATAAATGTCATTGCCAACCTGGCAAATATTGAAACTTTTACTCCAATGTCAATATTGTTTTAGTATATATAGACAAGACAAGTGAGAGTGTAATTAAACAACAGAAACTCCTTTTATTCAATTCCACAAAGATGAATTTTCAAATTTCAGTCCCGATGTCTACCATCTTTCATTTGTAGACGATGATGACCATGAAAAGACCAATCTATCCCTAATGTATGATAGATACAAGGATAGGTTCACAACTTTTCCTAAGGAGAAAGGCTGGATGAGACCTTTACATGTACCAAGGGTTTTGGCACCAGTCAAAGAACGTAGTCTCGGTTGAAACTGTGATAGCCACACAAGACAGTTTCAAAGCTAGCTCATCCGTCTGATGTGTACTTAGCCACACTTCCAAAATCTGGCACAACATGGCTCAATGCCTTAGCTTTTGCTATTGTAAACCGAAACCGATATAAAAACAAGCCACCTTCAACCCACCCACTACAAACACTACAAGAAACGGGACCTATAGGGACGAAAAATGTCGTCTCTATAGGTTTAAAAATCGTCCCTATAGGTGTCCGGGACGACATGTCGTCCCTATAGCTTTCGTCACCATAGCCCCGTCGCAATAGATATATTTGGCCGTCGCTATAAATATCATCGCAATAGTTATCCTTTAGAGACCACATGTCGTCTTTTTCTAGTTCGTCGCTATATGGTGTTGGTCTCCATAGATGAAGCTATAGAGGCGACATGTCGTCTCTATAGGTATATCTATAAAGACAACATGTCGTCTCCATAGATATAGGTGTGGAGTCATAGACATACCCTTTAGCGACAACAGGCCGTCGTGGTAGATGTACCAGTAGATATGACATGTCGTCTCTATAGATGAACCTATAAAAGCAACATGTTGTCTCTATAGGTATATGCCTATAAGGCTGATTTTTTTCTCTATAATTTCCGTTTTCACATTCCAAAATTACTAAAGCAGTAAATTTACAAAATAGCTAAAACGGTAAATTTAATTGCAAAACATTAAAATACGATATATTTTCAAAACTCTACATTATTGCAAATATTATGAAGAACAAAATTATTAACTTGAGGAAATTAGCATAATCATCACATGATCATTTGTGTGTATAACACTACATTCTACATGGTTTATAAAATAACACCATCAACAATGGACTACTTCTCATCATAGAGTGCCATCAACAATATATTGCTTCTCATCTTAGTGTGCCCTTCTGTGCTCGTTACAGCTTCTTGCACTCTTCCCACTTTCATTATCTGAACCTGATCATGAATTCAATTTTAATCATTTTTTTTTGAAAAAAGAAAAAGAAAAGGATGAAAGAACTAGGAAAAAGGAACCTTGATCTCGATCCATGGCTTTTCACGTTTTTGTGCACACAAAGTGAGTTGTCTTTTTTCACTTTTTTGATCTTTTTGTATGCATACTCATATTTTTTGGAGGCTTCATGAACAAGATGTTCAACTAAAGAAAGGACTTAATAAGTATTTTAGCTCCACTTCATTCAACAAACAGAAACATTAGAATCAAGATTATTAGGTTGCAAAATTGCATCTTAATGACCAATGTAGCCTACCTCCATTAAACCATGATTAAATTTAAAGAAACTAAAATTCTTTATCACCAATTGGTGACCATGTTAACCCAAAAAAGGAAACTATAATTCAATCTTTCAACTCTTGAGTGCTATTTATTTTTCCAAGATTTTGAAAACCCTTATATATAAGTATACAAATAACTTGTTATAAAGATCAAATTTTATATTAAAAAAAGAAAGTGAACCTTTCGAGGATTTACAGGGATATATAGTTAATATATGAATCCCTTATGAGGTCTTGCATCAGAGACATTGTCCAACATCCAGTGGAGTCTGAACAGCTTCAACCTCCCCATTGCCAGACCTAAAAAGATAATGATCTATAAAAAAGACATCTTTACCCCTTCAAAAAAATGATCTTTGTAACTTATTTCAGCAAAATATATAGTGTGTTACCTTAATAAACAGTTACTGGCTGATTGTAATACTCCTCATATCTTCCTTCACTTGCATACTTTCTGTTCTCCCGTGTGATATTTTTAGTGATTCTTTTAGTACTAATGAACCAGTCACTAAGGTCACAAGACATGGCAAAACATCAAAAAGAACACTAAAAGACCTGATTTGTCAAGGAAAAGAATGAAGAATGAAGAATGATGACAGAAACGCCTCGGAGAAAAATCTTGCTGATAAATCTGTCTTTGTTAACTAGAAGAGCTTTCTTCTTGACTTTTCCTGTTTTTGTGATCTGTCTTACAAAAACTAAAAAAAAAAAATAAGAAAATGCATACAAATTTGGAACCAGATATTTTCTTTTGAAAGAACTAACCTCAGTCCACATCTCTCTAACATTTTTCAACACCATGTTAGGATTATGAAAATTTATTGAGGAATAGTTAACTTAAAATGTTTTGTTTATTTTTTGGACTGAATGAATTGATTGAATAAAAGAAATGACCAATTTACCCTCTATCAAGAAGTGATGCTTTTTTTGACTACCTTCTTTGCCAATGGGTTACCGTTTCTATGGATGGATATGAACAATGGCATTGCTTGAGAATGTGAACCAATGATAACATGTCCTTCCTTTCTTGCTTCAGCAATGTCAAGCAGTCATATTGTAATAACTTCTTTTTCATGGGATGAAGAGATGTTTCCATGAAGCTGCTCAAGAAATTGAGAACCATGGACATTGTACTTTCAGCCTCATCCTTTTTGGTGCTTCCATTTGATGTCCTGTTATGTCATCATAGTGTACCCATCGATCAGCATTTAACATAAACATAACAAAATGAACATGTTACTACTGATCAATTGAACAAGAAACTCAAGTTATTAAACAAAGTGAAGAAATTCTTTGTGAATTATTGACCATTATAACGAATGAAATACAGTAAGAAATTCTTCCTTAATAGACAAATTTTCATAATCCTAACTGTGAATATATTACTTGACTTGATGTTATATGTTAAAGTCTATACCAATTACTAATCATCTTTTTCATTACTTTCAACCGGTCAAGAAGCACAATGAATACAGAATGACAATAATATCCAATTATGAAGTATGTTCTAAGTTCCTAATTCCTGTTACAGGTTGTCATCACAATGATCGGTGCTGAAAACATATCTCAGTGAAAAACAATACCTTTTAATCGCAGAAGCAAAATCCACATATAAATCAATACTCCAAGCTTGAATAACGAACAACTAGAAAGAAAATTAACCTAAAATCGTTGATATGGTTACAGTTTATCAGTATTGCATCTTCAAACAAAAAGCTGCGAAACCATAGAAAATCACAATTTTTAATCGGATGTGAAAATTACTAACCTAGGCCGCTAGAGTGGGGTTTGTATTCGTTAGAATTTGTAATCGGATGTGAAAATGAAGCTGGTAGTTAGAATCATCGGCGTTGAAGCTAATCGCCGGTGGTCTTCGACAACTAGCATGTGGATCGAGAGAGAGGAAGAAGATTGCCAGGAGTGGGAGGTGAGGAGGTTGCCAGGGGAGAATTTTCGATCGATCGATCGAGAGAGAGAGAGAGAGAGAGAGAGAAAGAGTGAGATTGATGATGGAGCGTGCGTGAATTAAACGAAGGGAGCTGCTCTCCTAATTTCGGGAGTAGATAGCTATGGGGACGACGAGTCGTCCCTATAGTTATCCCAAAAAAACCGACCTAATTTTATTTCCGTTAAATTATTAAAAAATATGTTATTTTTAATTTTTTGTTATTTGTTAGAGCGATAATTCGTCGCCACAAGTATTTCAAGAACGCGCCAAATCAATTTCCTTTCCCGCTTACGATGTTTAGACCACAAGTCGCCTCTGTAGCTTAAAAAGTCAAAAAAATTCGTCAACTCTTTTGTGACGACATGTCGTCCCTATAGGTAGCCTATAGGGACGACAAATGTTGTCCCTATAAATCTCGTCCCTATAGTTGCTTATTCGTGTAGTGAAAACTCTAATCCCCATAACTGTTTGCCTTTCGTTGAGACTGAAGTTTTAAGAACTAGCCACCCTACTTATGTTAAAGCACATTCTCCACGTCTCTTTGCTACCCACATGCCTTACACTTCGTTGCCTCAATCCATTCTTGATTCTTCATGTCGCTTAGTTTATATGCATGTGTCGAAACCCTAAAGATGTTTTAGTCTCTTAATTTGTTTCACTTTGCAAACAGTTTGAGAGGCCAATCTCGGCCGGATTTGATGACATTCGAGGAGGGGTTTGATATGTTCTGTAAAGGTGTCATACCAAACGGACCTTATTGGGATCATGTTAACGGGTACTACAAAGTAAGTTTAGAACAGCCGACAAGGATTCTGTTTTTGACATATGAGGACATGAAAATGGATACTAGGAATAATGTGAAGCTTTTGGCAAAGTTCTTGGGCTGCTCTTTTTCAGAGGAGGAAGAGGGCAAAGGTGTGGTGGAAGAGGTTGTGAGCCTATGTGGTTTTGAAAATTTGAGTAAGGTTAATAAGCATGGGAGTTTAAGTATTGGTATACCTAATCATGCATTCTTTAGGGAAGGGAAAGTTGGAGACTGGAGGAACCCATCTCACAATTGAAATGAGTCAAAATTTGGATCAAATTACCAAAGAAAAGTTTCATGGTTGGGATCTTCTTCTAAATACAAGTCTGTGATAAAAGGAGAGAAGAAGTTTTCACCCAAATAAAGGTCTCTGTTAATTTCAAGAATTGTTCTAGCTAAATATTTCTGGTTCAAAAAAAATCCCAATTGACTGTATTATATTAATAAATGTCCTTATTCTGTCATATAAATGAAAACTTTCTTTCTAGCTTTTGCTTTTCTTATAAGGCTAAGTTACAAACTCTTTAAAAAAATAATAATAAATAAATAAATAAAATCTAAGCATTGCATTTTTCCAAATAACAGATGTATGTTAAACATTATTTCACAGATAAAGAACTATTGGAAAATAAGTAACATCCATATATCAATCATGCATAATTGGTAGATCAACACATGGAAAAAGTATATACAACTCTCATTCAGTTGATAAAAAACTAACAATTAATAAAGTATTCATATTATCTACAAATATATATATTGCTAGTAATTACCAAAAGTCAAAACAAGTATAATAAACATATTCACATTCTCTTCAAGATTTTCTGACATTTCACAGTACCCGGAAAATCAAGGATCTTGAATTCAACAAGGCTCAATCGTTCTGAATCTGTCATCATCTTGAATCCAAATGCTTGAGTCCAAGTACTAACCATATCAGGAACCGCAGGCAAAACAAGCTTCTCAACCCCCAACTCTCCCAATTTCCTTTCAAGCTCATCCATCAACATCCTACACATCCCTAGTCGCCTGTACTGGAATCTTGTGGCAACAAATGGAATCTCCGCCACTTTACTACCATGAACTCGCACTACAACCACCGATATCACTTCCTCATCTCTCTCCAAAACCGCTGTAAAAAACCCTTTGAAATTCGACTTTTTTGAACATCTATTAAAGATAACGTCTTCAACCACATCATTATTGGACCACGGATGCTGTACAGGTTCGAAACACTCATTCATCACTTCTAATGCCATGTTTAGTTTGCTATAAGTTTCTGTATATTCTTCCTTCTTGTTGTTATCATCACTACTCACCATCTTCAGTAAACTCCAACTCAGGTTGTTCGTTGTTAATGGAATCGATATGCCAGAAATCCCCATTAGGCCGGAAGATATTCCTTCACATTTTTTAGAACAGAACGTTTTATTACCATCGGAAGACATTGAAAGCCCTTCTTTTTTCAGGCAATCAATGTGGAAATGGCGCTCACATTGTTCACACGTAATTTGGTCTTCATCGTGACCTTGAAGACAAATCCCACAACAGCAAGGTGGGCAGAACCAGTACTCAGAATCAGGAACTCCATTCAATCCAATGCAAGATGAATGATAAGAAGAAGTGCAAGAATCACATAACAATAAATCACCACCATCGTTGCAAAAAGAACAAAACTCATCTTGGCCAGATAACAGTTCATGATTAGATGATTCTATCGATTTAGTGACTTTATCAACTTCGTTTTCTAGGTTTAACTGAGTTTGACAATCCAAAAGAGACCTCCCATCGTCTAGAAATATCCTGGCTGATGGTCTACGATAGGTACTTCCAGCATGAGACTCGAATTTGCTTAGCAGAAAAAACATATTACAACAATCACACTGAATCCCCTTCTCATATATACGCCCGGATGCCATAATGTGATCATCTAGTCTGTTAAGATAAGCGACTCTTGAACCACTTAACACAATTTTACTTTGGATTAGGGAAGAAAGAAGGCACCTGCCGCTCACAGAAGAAGGTTTCACCTTTCGTATTCGTTTCTTGGGTTTAAACTCTTTTCTTTTCTTCCCGGATTCCTTCAATTTCTTAATCTCACGAAGAGCTTTTCCTGGACGATTTCTCAGAATACCCTCTTTCTTTTCATCGTCGTCAACAATACCCGAATCATTACTGTTCCCAACCGATTCTTCACTCTGTTGACGGAAATACGAACTTTCAACATCTTCTATCCGAATCCTTTTCTTGGGTCGACTATTGCTGATCACTGACACATCGCTATTCACCAATTTCGTATCCTGTTTTGTACCTTCTTCAATTATGGAACTACTCACGTCAAGATCGTGATGAACTTGATGATCAATGAGAGATCCACAGGCTGTTCGGAGGGAGATATAAGTTTTACCTGTCGGAGAACAGTACCGAAGTTCTCGACGATTGGGTTTCTTCCAGAGGTAGAAGAAAGTCCAACCGAGTGCAGAGAGATGGTTTTTTGCTTTCATGATTTTAGCTTTGATATCTGGATTCTTGCTTCTGCCTATTTGAACGCCACTTGAATAGTAATTTGTTATGGCTTCTGGGTTGTACTCTGGTTCATACTTAACGTACTCCATTGAAACAACAGTTGAAGAGGAATTAGGCAGAGTGGAGGATTGGCATAAAAGCATGGTGTTCGGAGACGACGATGACGAAATAGGGTTTAACCTGTTTGAAAGTGGTATTAGGGTTTATGCTTGAGTCTCACGTAAAAGTTTGATACACGCACCTATATTTTAAAACTTGCATTTTAATCACCTAAATTCTCGATAAATAACGATAGGACCCTACCGTTGGTGTAACTCTTGAACGGGATTTTATGCTTGAGTCTCACGTAAACGTTTGATCCGGGATTTTTTCAGAGCACGTTGTTATTTTATTTTTTCCCATAGTTTCCATTTATGTCCAAATAAACTAATTGTAATTCATGAAAGCTATACAAGAAGTCATGGGTTCAAGTCTTAGTGGAGACATAAATAATTATTTAGAAGTTGGTTAGTTAGTTTGTCGTTTCAAAAAAAAAAAAAAACTATACAACAAGCTACATCGTTTTTTTAAACATCCCATACGCTATTAAACACGAGCCGCTTTCTTTTTCTATCTATTCGTCGACACAACACCCCTAGCGGTACAAGTTAGTCGGAGACCTTCCAGCATTGCAGATACGTTCAAACAGTTCTCGTCCAGATGCATATTCCATTACAATCGCAAGATGTGTTGGTGTTAAATCACTTGTAGATTAAGTGAAATCAACATCATAATTAAGAACATAGTTTAAGATGTTATTATAGAAGAATATGAAGGATTACAAACCTCTTTGAATATAATGATATTAGGATGCCTTTGTGATATGTGGTTAATGATTTCCCTCTGTACATTTTCATCAACCTGTTGAACACAGGAGTTAGAACTTCAATAACCTCTGTTTATCAATTACGTTTTACCCATGTTTCAGCTTCAAAACACAAGATTCGATTTCAAACTATTCACTAAATCAAAAGAGAAAAAGGGAAGAACAGAGGAACATAAATCTATGGAAGATTGATACTCAATTTTTAACACTGACCTTCCTCACCTCTCTCAATGTATTTGACAGCAACAAGCTCGTTAGTATGTTTATCCCTCATCAACCTCGCCGCCCCAAAATTACCAGAGCCAATGTCTCTGACTAACTCGTTGCTATCGCTATCGTGCAACCCCTAAATCATCATGAGTTTGCTATCGCTTACTCTGGATCAAAGTACAAAGATCAATTGAACCAACTATATTTATTACTTGATGAAATGGTTTGATTTTGTTTGAATTAAGGATAAAACTATAATGAACTGGTTTGATTTATTCAGATTACTGAAATTAATATCAGTGGCTATTTATTTTTCTTAACTAATTCTTGTTATTATTGTTGCTTCATTACTATTTTATTTGGGGTAATTAACTTTTATCTTGTTTCATCTAATCTCATAGAGATTGTGATAGCTTATAGATTTTTTATGAACACCTAACGTACGATGAAATGCCTCAATGAAAAAGTAGTATTTTATATGAAAATCCTTACATTTGAACCCTCATTAAGCCAACCATTAAGGCCCTTAGGTTAAATTGAATTTCACATTTTAATAGCCTAATAAGTAGCTAGTAATCATATAAAAAGTGATAAACTTAAGGCTTATCCATTAAGTCTTTAGTAGAACGCCAAAAGTGATTTAAAAGCTATTATAATCAATTTTCCCAAATCAGTACTCCAACTTCTAAAATTCGTGCAAGTCAACAAGAACATCTAAAAATCATGAGACTTTGAATCACATTTCGAAATTCAACTCCTTGAAGGGTAAAATTGGCAATCTTCTTAGGCTGGTCCATGCTAAAATTCGTGAGACTTTCAATCACATTTCGAAATTTCAACTCCTTGAGGGGTAAAATTCGCAATCTTTTTAGGCTGGTTCATGCTGTCATAGATTTCATGCATTGTCTTCAAAAAATCATAATAAATTCATTAGAACTCTAAATGCCAAAATTCAAAATTCTATAGTTAGATATGGATGTATAGTTTCCCACATATAAAGAGACTAATGTAATTCTTGGTAGACTGGTATAGTTTATTCCAAGAGTGTTGAGTGGTCCAGAAAGTGACAGCCTAAAGTTACTAACTTGTAAATTTAATATAAAATCAACCAAAAATCATTAGAATGAGATCTTTATATTTCTAAAAAGATAAAAGGAGGAACTTTACCAATATTATTTTATCGAATTTTAAGAATGGGTTGAAAGGTAAGAAAATAGATCCCAAAAAGAGCACTACAATCAAAGAGAAAATAAGAAAATATATACATAAGTTTTATAAAAAGTAGTACACCAAAGCACAAGCTAGATAATGTTATAATTGTTGTGTAGGTTCTCGGAAATGAAATGATTCATCTTGCTCATGCTAGCTGATTTTCAAGTTCAAGGAGGTGAGTTACATTAACTCTCTATTAAGGAGGTGAGTTACATTATATACGTATAATAAAATGTGATTAAATACACGATAACAACTATTGAATCAAGAGCACGAAAATGAATTTTGTCCACACAAATCATATACGATTAGATACATATAATAACATGTGGTTATGTATATCTAATGACACATGATTTATGTGGCTAAGATTCATTTTCGCGTTCTCGATTCAATAATTGTTTTTTTCTACTTTAATCATATGTGATTAAATACATTTAATC